ACCCTCCACCTTCAAGTAGACCTCAGTGTCTGTTGGTCCCCTCTTTTTGTCCATGTGTCCTCATTATTTAGATCTAGCAATTCCACTACTGAGTATTTAACCAAAGAAATATAAGTTATTCTATCTTAAAGACACATGAATGCATATGTTCATTGCAGTACTATTCACAATAGCAAAGATGTGGAATCAGTTTGATTGTCCATCAATGGTAGACCGAATAAATAAAATGTGGTACATGTACAGTATGGAATACTATGAAAACATAAAAAGGAATGAGATCTACTCAGCTTTATCTGTTAAAGAGATCCTATCTACTTTCTGGTTTTCTAGAATGTTGTCATAATTTCTGATCTGATTATGGCACCTTTTTTATTTATAGCACTGAAATGGAGTTGTTCAATTTAATTATTCTGTACTGTTATTTCCATAAGATCTTAAGAAGGAGATGTATGCCATTTTGAATTACAAGATCCACTGACATTTTAAACTGATTAGTGTTGCGTATAGCCACTGTCAATGTTGCGCTGGATTATTGCAGTAACCTCCTAATGAATCCCCCTCCTTCTCTGTCTTTTCTCCTTTACAGAGCGACCAGATTTCATTTTAACAATAAATTGCTTCTCAAAAACCCTCATTGGACTTTCAACACATTCAGATTAAAATCCAAGGTTCTTATAATTGTCTACAGAGTTCTATATGATGTGGTCACCCATTATCTCTCTGACCCTACTCCTTTCTTTATTCATTTTACTCCAGCCATACTTGTCTCCTTTCTGCTCCTGAAACATGGTAGGCATGGTTCCACCTCAAGCCTCTGTACTTCTTTCTGATCGCCTGGAACACTCTTTTCTGATGTAGGTGCCTGACTTACTATGTCACTTCCTTCAGATCTCGGCTCAAATGTCAACTTATTAAACAGACTTTCACTAACCACTTTATTTAAAATTTCATCCCCACCTGATTTTCTACTCCCATTCTCTTTCAACTGATTTATTTATTAACATTGATAACCGTCCTACAACCTATACACTTGTTGGTTTATCTGTTTATTGTCTCTCTCCTCAATGGACTGTAAGCCTTATGAGGACATGGCTTGCTTGTGTTGTTCTATGCAGCATTTCTATCTAGCAGCTAGAATAATGTGTGATATATGGTAAGCATTCAATAAACATTTGCTGAATGAGTAAAGAAGTGAAAATAGAAAAGCATTGATTTTTTAATATATTAATCTCAAAACTGAACATTTTACTACTATTTTATTTTTCCTAACCTTTTTCAGTTGCTTCTTCTAGAATTTATCATTTTTACCATCATATATCATCTTCAAATAAATATAACCGTTTTCTGTTTTCTAGTATTTATATCCAATATTTTCTACCTTTTCTAATTGCTGGATCTGGAAATTTATAACAACATTAAATACTGGTTGTGATTTTAGGAGTCCTTGTTTTGTTTCTTACCTTCACAGGAGTTTCTCTGATGTTGAGGATTCCAGTTGAAGTTTGAAACACAAAACACACACACACAAACGCACACATATACACACTTACCATAGGAAGAAAATTTTTCCACATAGTTTACTAAGAATTTTACCAAAACAATAGAGGAGTTTTATTAAATCATTTATTATAACTTAGTGATATGAGCATGTGTGTCTTCTAATTTGATTTATTATAATACATTGAAATAATAGATTTTTCAATAGTGAAGACTCCTTGAATTCAAGGAACTAGCTTTACTTTGCCGTAGTATTTTGTGAACTAATGAATTTGATGGACTAATTTGGTGAACTAACGGATTTGGTGAACTAATGGATTGCCTTCAGTGGTTTTAAAGGATAAGTTGCATTGATCTATATATCTATGTCAAATCAGTCCCTTTTATTTTTGGCAATTTTACTCAAATTTGTTAGTATTTTGCTGGCCTGCTATAAAGAAGAGTAAATTATTTTCTCTTTATGCTCAGAAGCACCTCAAACTTAGATATTCTTTGACAATGTGAAATAATTTACTTATAAAATGATCAACTCTGTGTGTTTATCTGTTTATGTGCGTGATATTCTTGGATAAAAAAGACGTTAAAAAACTAATATTCACATATCTAGAGTTAATGGTCTGATCTGGTTCCTTATTTTTTATTGGGAAGTTTAGTTATTTGTATTTTCTGATGATTTTTTTCACTCAGATTTTACATTTACTTGTCTAATAAAGAAATCTGTGCTTATAATTATTTCTTCTCTCTCGCTCCTAATAATTTGCATTTGTGCTTTTTTATTGTAATACTGTGGAAAGCAGTATCCTCCTCTGGACACCTCCTTTGCTTTTTGCAAGACTGGGAAAATTGGCAGAGGCCTACACTTGTGGTATTGAAGTGAGAACTTAAACAGGGGCTAGCAGAAGCTGCTGATGAGGTGATATTCCACTGCTGTGAGACTGTCAAGGATGCTGGTGCCAGTTGGGTGTTGGGAATACTGGATACGTCTCAGAGTAGGAGAATAAATGGTCCAGAAATGAAGCCCTGCTTTGTGAGCTAGGTCTGACTTTTCATTCTCCAAGAAGAAACCAGCAGTTGAGCAATTCAAAAACCTAATTAGTGGACCAATGTGGACACTATTAAGGAGTCCTAGGCGAAAAGCTGCCCTTTATGGCTTATCTGGGCGAAAAGCTGCCCTTTATGGCTTATCTGGGCGAAAAGCTGCCCTTTATGGCTTTTAGGTGGAGACTCAAAATCATTATAATTTTAGTATTAAAAGATATATTGTCGTCTCATGGTAAGGTCACAACATTTGTGTAGAATAAGCCTCTATCATTCTCTACCATTTTCTTCCCCATCCCAGCTTTTTAAAAATTGTCCTTATTTATTTATTTATTTATTTATTTATTTATTTATTTATTGAGACAGGTTCTCACTCTGTCACCCAGGATGGGGTGCAGTGGCATGATCTCTACTCACTGCAACTTTAACTTCCTGGGCTCAAGTCATCCTCCCACTTCAGCCTCCCAAGGAGCTGAAACTACAGGCCCGTACCACTACACCCAGCCAAGTTTTGTATTTTCTGTAGAGATGGGGTTTCACCATTTTCCCCATCCTGTTCTAGAACTCCTGGGCTCAAGCAATCTGCCTACCTTAGCATCCCAAAATGCTAGGATTACAGGCGTGAGCCACTGAAGCAGGCTTTCTCTCTTTTCATTGTTTTAAAGATCCTTCATATGCTTTTCTGTTCTACTTTTCCCTGAAAGGACAAGATTCCCAGTGTTTCATAGCACTCACCTTCCCAGAAGTGATAAATTGCATCCTGGGATACACAGCCAATTCTTCATGGGGTATGTTCTCCTGATGTCACAGAGGTACCTCAAATTCAGTAAGTCCCAAGTTAAACTGATCATCCTCTCCCCATACTATCTATGCCTATTTTCTTTATTTTTATTTGGTGTCAATATTCATTCATAATCAAGTCAGAGCCTGAAAGTCCACCTAATTTTTTTTTTCCTCATCCTTCACTTGAAATACTGTTTGTTCCTTTTATTTCCCCTCATTGTTTTGAATAACTTTCTCCCTCTCCACACCTACCCCACTAAGTTCAGACTTTTGTGGTCTCCTTTCTTGGATTTTGTTCAGTGACATCTTATACATTGGATATAACTTAAACCAGGGTGCAGTAGACCAGGGAAACCTACTAGGTCCAGCTAAGTATCTAAGGAAGGTAGCTGTGTGTAATCCATCTCCAGGTACATGAGCCTGAATGGTGGGTACTCTCTTCCTTCAGTGTGGCAGCAATTTTATTGCTTGCCCTCATTTTCTTGTTCTTTGTTTCAGAACCTACTTGGTACTCTGACAACAAATCCAATTAACTCAGCCACAGTGGCTTAGAAAGAAAGGATCAAGATCAAGTAGATGTAAGATTGGCAAAGAGCACAGAGTTTGGTGACACACTGTTGGCAGGGGTGTGGTAAAGCAGGTGTGCATCCATTACTTGTAGGATGTTAAGGTGGTGAGAACTCTTTGGAAGGTGATTTAGCAATGGCTATTAATATAAAATGAACTTACTCATTGAACCAGTAATTCCATTTCTAGGAATTATCCTGCAGATATATTTACGCTTGTACACAAAGATGTATACATTTAAGTAATCACTGCAGAATAGTTTACAGTAACAGAAAACCGGAACTAACATAAATGATCATCAAAGGTGTAATGAATAAGTCAAGTGTATTCCAATCACACAATAAAACAGCATGCAATAAAATTAAGTAGATAAGTATAAGAGAAAATCTCTAAGATTTTGTGATTAAAAAAGCACAGATACATACAGTATGTTATTATTTATATAAAAATTCCATACACACATACATGTGTTCTTATACATATATAGAGAAAATTTAAATGTGTATATACAAAAATTATACTGATGCTAATCTATGGGCTGGAAACTAGAGACCCTGGGATTTGAGATTTACTTTTAACTCTATACTTTTTATACTGTATGGTTTTTTGATCATGTGCTTGTATTAAAATTATTTTAAATTAACATAAAACAAAACACAAATAAAGATCAAGTGGCAAGTCTTAATATATGTGGTTCAATATATAAGAAATAGCTGCAGATATAAAATGATATACATCTATGCTTTCTCCTCACATGGGAAATAACATATACAAACAGATATACAAATATATTTTATACGTAAGTAGTTATAAGTACCTGTATATTTGTATAAATGAAAAATGGTTTGTTCAGTCAACTTTATAAAAACACCTAGCCATCCTAACTTACACCAAGTATATTTTCATAACGTATTCAAGATGTTGTTTAATCTTTTAACTTGTAAGCATAAGTTTCATTTTCAAAAAGAGATGTACAAAGTAATGTCTGCATAGCTAATGCTTCAGATTCAGCTTCTGTCTCAGAAAGTTTTGACTTTGATAAATACGTTCTCAGAAAGAAAAGTGAAAAAAGAAAGCATATGTTGAAGTATTAAGAACTTAAGTCTGCCACTTAATTGCTAAGATGATGAACACATTTTATTTATTTTTCTGCAACACATCACATACTGGATACAGAATTATCCATGTATACAGTAATAAAAAATCAGCAACACCTACTCTGAGCACAACTGCCACAACTGGCTTTTCACTGTAAATAACTACCTGAATTTAAAGAGATGTTTACCCCATATACCCCAAAAAATACCTCCTTGATTGCCCTACCACATACATAGACCAGAATTGATTAGTTCTGAAAATCTGTAGCATAGAAAAGCAGGCCATAATATAGCGGCTTTAAATAAGAACACGGAAGGCCTGAGGATAGTAAAGTTGTACTGAATAACCAAAATTGTTGATTAATAGTATGAACAACATTGTAAGATTTCTAACTAAGAGAACATATTTTTAAAGCATTTTACACATCAACAATATACAAACAATAGACATTCAGTTTCCAATATCCAAATGAATCACACTGCAGAATGGTGTGTACGACACTAGAATGGTGGCAATCTAGAACCTGAACTGCATTTTCTAATTAGAGTAAGGCTATAAATGATGGGTAGTTCCTCAAAACAACCCCAAAGATGCTTTGTAGCACACATTTCCCCAAAACACCACACATCTAACATGTGCAAAAGATCTGAACACTATTGCAATATTGATAAAACTAATGTACTGAATAGTAGTGAAGACTGCATCAACCTAAAGAAGGAGGGTATGTGAATCACTGAAAGACAGAATACAATTAAGATTTAGCCAAAACTCTTTGAATGAGAAGGCAAAAATATACTGCTGTTGGGAAACGTGAATGAGAGATTTAAAGCCAAAGTTTTGACTGTCGAAAAGACCACTTGTGCTCTCTCACTCCCACTGGCTTGCTCCCGCTCTCTCTTTATCTGCCTAATACACGAAGCACACGTAAGTTGGACTGGTTCCACCTGGAAGACAAAAGCCACACAAAGTTAAAAGCACAAATGCAGCCTGAAGAAGGAAAGTTAGGCGGAACTGAAAGGTAAACCTGTGCACTTTGAGAACAAGGCGTTCATCCTTAACTCCAGAGGCCTGCGTAGTTCCCATGGAGGCCTGAAGGGAGAGGCCCCCCAGCCACAAAGAGCTTCATCTCGGGCCAGTTGTAGCAGTGGGTGTAGAGCGCATTGGGGAACTCTTCCATGCCACCAAAGTAGTTCACCCAGACGTCATCCTGGTTGAGCCAGCCTCTGCCACAGGCAAGCTTGAGCTTCCTCCCTGCGGGCCCCGGCGTAGAGTCCAGACTGGCAGAGGCCCTCTCCTCCAGGAACTTCTGGGCCCGGATGTCATAGAAGAGCAGGGAGCCATGGCCGGTGCCCACCGTGATGATGTGCTGGTAGAAGCTCAGAGACCGCACGCCTGTGCCACCTTCTCGAGAGCACAGGGGCCGGATGTTCTGCTGGCGCTGGCGCGGATCCAGGAAGGAGACGTGGGACTGGGAGCCCACAGCGTAGAGGGACAACTCATCGCAGTAGGTCAGGCACACATTCTCTCGGCAGTAGGGCAGCCTGATGGACAGCAGCCTGGATAGTGTGCTCCGGGCTTTCCACAGGTGGAAGTAGCCGTCTAAGGACACCGCTCCCAGCTCCTGGTTCTTGCCGCTGAAGGCCAGGGCCCGCACCTTGCGGTTACTGGGGTTGGTGCTGGCCCTGGGTATGGCCTCCACATCCTTCGGACGGATGTGGGCATATACAGGGAGACCCACCTCGCTGTGCCAGGCAATGCTGCCATTGAACATGTCCGGGTCCATCCGCCACAGCGCCACAGTGCCGTCGCGGGAGCCGCTCACGGCTACGGTGTCACTCAGCCAGGCGACGGCGAAGATCCAGTCCTTGTGGCCATGGCGGTCGCCCAGGCACAGGGGGTCCAGGGTGGGCAGCTGGTAGATGGCCAGGCTGTTGGGGTTTTCGCCGCCGGTGGCCAGAAGCGTCTTGGAGGGATTCAGCTCGATGGCATGGATGCCGCAGCCCTGTTGGGCCTGGGCCAGCCCGGCCTCCTTGTCCCGCATGAGGGGGATGCGCGTGATGTGGCCTGACTGCACGTCCACCACGAAGAGCGTGTTACACTTGGTGCCGCACACCACCTGCCTGGCGTTCAGCCACTGTGACGCGAACACCTTGTTGAGGGTGCCCAGGTCCAGCTGGCGCTCCGTCAGCAGCTCGGGCAGCCTCTGGACGGCGTAGCCCCGAAGCTCGCCCTCGAAGCCCTGGAGCCCGGCGGGGCCCCTCGCTCCTACCTCCCGGCCCTTCAGATAGTGCACCAGCCTGCGACGCGTCGCCGGCCGCTTCTGCTTCTTGGGTAGCAGAGGCCCGTCTCCGTCCGCCGCCGCTAAGCCCTGCGAGGACGAGCTCCCGGCGCCCGCCTCGACCGCGGGCGCTTTCCGTTTCCTGCTACCTGTTTGCTGCTGGGCCATGGTGGGCGGCGGGCGATCCGCGGCGGCGGCGCGGGCAGCGGGCAGCCGCTGCAGGCGGCGGCCGGCGGCCTGGCGGCGGCCGTGGCACCCAGTGTTGGCCGTGGCGGCGGTGGTGGGGATGGCTGCGCTTCCGCGTCAGCCGAGAGCTCAGGATCTCTAAGACCAAGAAGCTGGTGCGATCGCGGGCTCCCAGACTTCAGTCAGGCTCGGCGTCGGCGGCGGCGGCGGCAGCGGCAGCGGCGGACCTGGCCAGAGATGCGCGGCCTGACGTAGCAGAGCCCGGGCTAAGCGGGGCGGCAAGGGCGGCAGTGGCGGTGCAGACCTAGGCGAGAGCGGGAAGAGTGTCTGTCTGGATGGCTGCGGGAGCGAAGTCAGTGTGGGGGGAGGACGACGCTGGGGCCCGAGTGTGAAGGGCGGAGGCAGTGGGAGGAGCTGCTGGGCGGGCGTGGGGTGCCTGCCGGGTAGCGGAGGCCGCGCGGGGTGGAGGCTGGAAGGGGGCGGAGGGGAGAAGGGGGTAGCGGAGCTGCAGGGGCAGAGTCGCGGAGGGCCGGCACCCTAGGTCCCCAGTATCAGACACGCATTGTTTCGCTACCCTCTGGACAACGGCTAACTACCCTTCTTAAAATCCCTACTTCAATAAAATCTGAAACCTAAGATATAATCAAGCACGGGGCTAGAAGGAGGCCGAGCCACGATCTGCTTGGAGAAACCAGTGTGCGCTTGGTGTAATCTTGGGACACCCTTCGCTTAGGTTAGACATTGAATTTGGCAAGGGATGGGGTGGGGGGCAGTTCAGCAGCGTCAGGGAGACCTTTACCCTCATGTCAGACTTGCAGCTTCTCCAGTTTCAGCTCCTGGATTGATGTCTTAAACAGTTTCGACCAAATAATTTTTTCCCCCTTCTCAAACTGAAGTCTTTGAGCACCTGAATCCCTGAGGGATGCGTTTCAAATGCAATTCCCTAGGTCCTGCTTTCCACCCAGGCGGTATCAGGGACCTTTAGTCAGAAAGCAGCCTCAGGAGCATCCAGGGCTGCAGTTATGATAGGGGTGGAGACATGAGGGTGAGGGGTGAAGAGAAGGGTTTTTCTCTAAGGCATTGAGTTCTTTCGAACTTAGCCCAGGGCGGGTGGAGTGAAGGGGAAGGGGTCCAGGAGAGGGGTACCTCCCTCTCTCCTGGGAGGGAAAGGTCAGCCCAAACTTTCAGTCATAGGAATCTTGGCAGAGCCCTGTCTTGGTGTGGGGGGCCCCCTTGGGCATTGGTACAGTACTCAGAGGAATGCACAGGATTTCCATAGGCACAGATGATAAAGAACTTTGCAAAGTGACTAAATGACAAAATGGTGAGAGTGTGGATATTCAAAGCATGAGTTTGGCAGTCTGAGAAGTTACATGATCTATACCTGCTCTGAAGCTTTAGGGCAGTCAATCCTAAAGCAAGCCCCCAATTCCACAGTAATACATTGTACTGAAATGCTGGTGGCTGATTCCAAGTCTGCACAGGCCCCAATCGTCCTCCACAAAAAAAAAAAAAAAAATGTTTGTTAAGCGGGTTTGCAGAAGTCAGGTGGTGAGTTAACTTTCCTTGATCAGAGATCATGAAAACTACTTTGTTGCTGTTTCCTCCCCATTCTCCCTGCTCTTTATACAACCTTATCTCAAGCCCAGAAACTCCGAGTACACCATGGGTCGTTCACGTCACTCCAGTCCAACTGTTGCATCTTAGTGCCCATCCTCCCCTTCTCTGCCTCAATATTCCTACCCACGTTTAGTGCTGTATCAAGAGGAGGGTGAGGGTGATGGATTGGGAGTAACCTGACAATGAAAAAAAAAATGTTGACAATTTCATAATTGGAAGTGACATTACTAGAGAAAAACTGATCACAAATTTCTTTAACCTAACCTATCTTAAGGCTGTCTTTTCTTTTCTAAATGATCCTAACTTAGAAAACTTGGTATCATATAAGACTTCATGGCATATATTTTTACTGTTGGGGTAATTAAAATAGGCTAAAAATCTTAGGCTATTATCAGACTGGTTGGTCATATATAACATATGTATAGCAAATTGACTGAAATATGTATGTGTGTGTATATATATAGTTTATGTATTTTATATATATATGTATGTATATATGGTTTTTTCTCCACATAAACTTTTTCTTAATTTGTGCAAATATATGGAGTACATGAGGAATTTTGTTACATGTATATATGGCTAGTGATCAGGTCAGAGTATTTAGGGTGTCCATCACCAGAGTACAACACATTTCTGTTAAGTATAGTCACCCTTTCCTGCTATCCAACACTGAGTTTATTTCTTCAGTCTTATTGTATGCCTGTACCCTTTAACTCTTTCTCTTCATCCTCCCCTCTCCCCACTACCCTTCCCAGTTTCCGTTAACTTTCCACTCTCTACCTACATATGATCACAAATTTTAGCTCCCATATATATGTGAAAACATGGAATATTTGTCTTTTTGTGCCTAGCTTATTTCACTTAAGATAATGATTTACAGTTTCATCCATGTTGCTGCAAATGACATGATTTCTTTCTTTTATGGCTGAGTAGTATTATGTTGTGCATTAATACCACGTTTGTAAAAGTAAATAATGCTTATAACAGCTATTATTTATTGAAAACCTATTCATGGGCTGGAGGGATGTGCTAAATGCTTTAAATGCTAAATGCTTTATGTACATTTGGCATGGCAATAACTTTATAAGGTAGGTTCTATTTTTATTGCCCTGTTTTAAAATGAGGGAAATTGAGGCTCAGAAAAGGTAGTGACTCCCCCATTGTCACACAGCTAGTAAGTGATAAAGTCAAGGTGTGAATCCCTGTGTGACTCTAATACTTTCATGACTTAAGACTATATTATTCGACAAACATTTTTTTTTTGTTTCCTTCTCTTAAAAACCATGTAAACTACCTCTGTTGTTGGAATTTTATCTGCATTGTCTTCTGTGCTTCTTAAAGATAACCGGAATTGATAAATAAAGAAATACTGAATGCAAATTATGTACAGCACTGTCTGTATGATATTTAAAGGCAAATATATCATCTCTGGGACCTATTTTTTAGACATTTCTTTTAATTAATACTTATGAGATGCAGTAATATGTACTCACAAGTTTTTTTGTGTTTGGTAAAAACATCCACATAAATCTCCACTTTTTGTTAATATAAATATGTAATATTTTAATATAATAATATGTCTATAGGGAGTGGTCAGATTACTATCATGTATTGATAAATGAACTAGGTTACATTCATCTGGAATATTATACCTGAAACAGATTTCTTTTATGCTAGGCTTTCAAATTTCTCTAAGCTCTTTAAAGCTGTACAAACAACTTCCAGACCAAAGGCAAGATATATTGAAAGATGTACAGTTTTGTATATGAACTTGCAATTTTGAACTTTCTTTGCATCTGGTTACTTCCATGTTCAGGAAAATACAATATCTGCTAATATATAACATAATAAATAGTGCATTTATTGTTGAAACAGTAGCTGCAATGGCATGTGATAAAAATGTCAGGTATCTGCATAGTTTTCTGAGTGTTGGGATCCTAGTTAGGTACTTCAGTTACCTCTGAGGGCTACTTTCTATGTGAGTATGAATATGTTGTCAGTCCTTACCAAGATATTGCTATGTTTATTACAGGTTTTTGCTTTGTATTAGACTGCCTGTCTCCCTACCCTAGATCCCCCTCCATTGGATGGGGTCTTACATGAGTGGCTTCAGGGCACTGTCTCATGCTGTTCTCTAATTACTTAATGTATTTACATTTTGTTTTCCCAATCAGATTGTAAGCTCCTCGGAAGGTTACATGTTTCCTACTTCTTTCGCACCATCACACTGTTCTAGGTAAGCAGTAAATGGTTTATAAAACTTGGGATTGGCTTGTTGATAAGTAAAGAGAACTAAAAGAGAGAAAAGAAATTGAAATATCCAACAAGTAGCAGATATTCTGAAATTAAATTACTTGAAGTGGAGAAACTGAGGGACTGGAATTGAATTGTAGTAATGCCACATAACTTGTTTGAATTTACATAGATACCTATGCTGACCTATTTTGACCTATATATCTGTATATACATAATTTCAAACAAGTTATGTTATACTATTATATATATCTATTTTCATTTACATTTATATATATATATGTTTCCTTGAACCATCGGATGATTTCATCAACTGGGTCTGTCCACCTTCCTAATCTATGAATGAAAAAATGAGATGTCTAGCCAATACTCATGATAGATTACCAATTAAAAATTACGGCAGAATATTTGTTATTTCCCTGTGGTATCGTGAATATAAACTTGTGTCTAAATGTGATTTAAATTATGTTAAAAGTGCTAGATTTTATGTCCAAAACTAAAATAGTCTCAGGAAAAATATACTGAAAGTTGAGAAAAAGGTGGGGCAATAGTAAGACGGGTGGATCAGTAACAAGTCTGTTTGAATAAATTCTGAAAGTGGCTTTTATATAATCTACAGAAAAATAGATGTTACAAATAAGGCCTTACAAATTGGAGCATATTTTCAGGTATAGAGGCATTTGTGTTCAGAAAGATGATCATATAGTCATTTCCAATATGTTGTATATAGACATGAAACAAAGATGCCCTTAAAAGTATTTTGTGACATCTTTCTTACATTTGTATGTATAGCCTTTGCATTATCTTTATCAGCAAGTATAAATATAAGATACTAAAAAAAGAAATATAGTTAATTAAGCTTGTTTTAAAATAACATATGATAATGACATGGTTACTTATACCAGACACAAGACAAAATATTCTTGAATTATTAAATTGAATAAGTTTTGCCTTAATCTCTAATTATAACACAGTCATAACATTTTCAAGCTATGACCTTCTCCAGTCTCTTAAGATAGGCAGCTATGAACCTGGTTCGTAGTCAGATTATTCTTCCAAACTTCATCATGCACAAAGTGATATAGATGACTCAGCAGGTTGTTTCTCCCTGCGATGGCACAACTAAAGGCATATGCTGTCAGATGGGGTAAGATAGGAAAGACTTATCACATTATTACATTTACTATAAACAGCATTAGAGGAAAGAAGGCAATTTTGACTGCATGACCTCTTCTATGCCCTACTCCTCTCCATATTTTCTAAGAGGAGGGAGTGTGTCAGAGTTCAAGCTTGGGCTTTGTGTTATGAGAGGATAG